TCCTCGGCTTCCCCTTGCCCTGCGCCCCCTCGACTGGCCCATCGCACACCCTTCGGCCCATGGCCCCGTGTGCACCTGCGCCCCCCGCCTCAGTAGCGGCCGCGCGCGACGGTGTCCGTCGCCGCCGAGCAACAAGGCCCCTAAGACACCCTCGGCGTCGTCCCCCCTCCTCGGCTTCCCCTTGCCCTGCGCCCCCTCGGCTGGCCCATCGCACGCCCTTCGGCCCATGGCCCCGTCTGCACCTGCGCCCCCCGCCTCAGTAGCGGCCGCGCGCGACCGTGTCCGTCGCCGCCGAGCAACAAGGCCCCTAGGACACTCTCGGCGTCGTCCCCCCTCCTCGGCTTCCCCTTGCCCTGCGCCCCCTCGACTGGCCCATCGCACACCCTTCGGCCCATGGCCCCGTCTGCACCTGCGCCCCCCGCCTCAGTAGCGGCCGCGCGCGACCGTGTCCGTCGCCGCCGAGCAACAAGGCCCCTAGGACACCCCCTCGGCGTCGTCCCCCCTCCTCGGCTTCCCCTTGCCCTGCGCCCCCTCGCTGGCCCATCGCACGCCCTTCGGCCCATGGCCCCGTCTGCACCTGCCCCCCCGCCTGCGGCCCATGTCCGTCGTAGCACCTCGGCGTCGTCCCCAGTTCGGCCCATGGCCCCGTCTGCACCTGCGCCCCCCGCCTCAGTAGCGGCCGCGCGCGACCGTGTTCCGTCGCCGCCGAGCAACAAGGCCCCTAGGACACCCTCGGCGTCGTCCCCCCTCCTCGGCTTCCCCTTGCCCTGCGCCCCCTCGACTGGCCCATCGCACACCCTTCGCCCCATGGCCCCGTCTGCACCTGCCCAGTGCCCCGTCCGTCGCCGCCGAGCAACAAGGCCCCTTCGTCCCCCCTCCTCGCTTCCCCCCCTGCGCCCCCTCGACTGGCCCATCGCGCCCATGGCCCCGCGCTGCCCGCACAGCGGCCCATGGCCCCGTACCTGCGCCCCCCGCCTCAGTAGCGGCCGCGCGCGACCGTGTCCGTCGCCGCCGAGCAACAAGGCCCCTAGGACACCCTCGGCGTCGTCCCCCCTCCTCGGGCGCAGAAGGCATCCGCACGCCACCGCACCGCCCGAGGGCACGGCGTCGTCCCCCCTCCTCGGGCGCAGAAGGCATCCGCACGCCACCGCACCGCCCGAGGGCACGCCCTCTCTGGCCGACCGGCGGCCAGCGGGGTCTTGCACACCCTCGGCGTCGGCCCTTCCGCCCTGCGCCCCCTCGACTGGCTCCTCCTCCTCCTCCTCCTCCTCCTCCTCCTCCTCCTCCTCCTCCTCCTCCTTCTCCCCCCCTTCTCCTCCTCCTCCTCCTCCTCCCATCGCGCTCTCCCCCCCTCCCCGCCTCGCAAGCTCGGCCCGCGCGAACCTGCCCTGCGCCTGGGCGGCGGGCCCGGCGCGGGGCCGTTTGGGCGGCGGCTCGGGGCCTCGGGTGTCTGCCGGCCGCGCGCGCGGCGCATCCGATGGCCCCGCGCCGAGGGGAGCGGGCCACGAGGCTCGACTCGAAGGGGTCGGCCTTCTGAGTGCACATGCTGATCAGGTGCTGGGCCGCACCAGCCGTGCCAGGAGAGCTGACTTGGAAGCTATCGGCCAGGTGCACCTCTGTCGGACGGTGGGGTGCGTGGCAGCACACCCGATGCACGTTGAGAAGGCGACCGCGGGGGCGTCTCAGCAGGCAGGCGGCTGCTTCGGATGCCTTCTCTCGAGGGCGACGGTGGGGGCGAATGGCCCCGGGGAGAGCAATTCCTGAACCCAAAGGTGCCGATGGTCCATGCCTTCGGCGGCCGACTCCCGGTCGAATGCGCAGAATGCCCGCCTCTGGGCTATTCGCCCCTATCGTCGCCCCCTATCATCGGCTTCAGATCGGGGCGGACGACATGAGGCGGCTTGACCCAGGGGCGGGCTTTCCACGCATTCGCCCTGGAGCCTCGTCGAAGGCATGGGCGATCGGAGGTTCTGGGTACATGTGTTGCTCTCCCCCGGGCCATTCGCCCCCACCGCCGCCTCCTCTCATCGGATGCAGAGGAGCCCTCGCAGAAGCGCCCCGGGGCGCTTCCAGGGAAGGCCCCACGGCTTCGAAGGAGACCCCCCCGCCTTCTCTTCGAGGGCCGCTCCCCCCTCGCCCTCGGCCCCTCCGCCCCCCCACAATGCGCGCGCTGCCAGCAGGGGGGGGCAGCGATCGGAGGGGGGGGGGCTGGCATACAGCCATCGTGCTACTATAGGGAACGCAGAATCAGGAACTTAGCTGCCCCGATACGCAACACGCAACACGTCGAGTATTGATACGGAGCTCAACACGTAGGCTGCACACGTACGTTTTGACCACGGAGGTTTTGAACACGGCACGTGCTACGTTTCGAAGCGTGCGTACCGGAGCAGCTGGGAATCAGGAACAGACGGGGCAATACCTGGCCAGGGCGAGCCTCGGCCACGGACAGGTCTCCCGGCCTTGATCTCAGGAACGGCCAAGAAGATCATAGCCCCTCCCGAGACCAAAGTGGTGCGTCTTACGGCGTCTTGGCTGCAGGGGGCAAGCTTCAGCCTGGAATCGGCGAGACATCGCCGATAGATTGGCGGTGGGCCCCCGAGAGAGTCAACCCGTAGAGTCAAACCTGAGTCGAATCTGAGTCGAGCCTGAGTCCAACTTGAGTCGAGCTTGAGTCGAAATGGAGTCGAACTGGAGTCGAACAGATCAATCAAGCGTGCCCCACGAAGGTCCCCCAAACGAGCATCGAAGCTCTCCATCCCAAGACGAATCCAGGACGAGACCATGCTCGGGTGAGGATCCCTTGGGGCCTGCTCAGAGGACCACACCTTTCCATGCCGAGCCTCTCTGATGACGGCTCTGGGCCCGAGGAGGGCCCCGAGAGCCCGAACAGGCAGATGGAAGCATGGGCCCCGCTTCCCTCGTCGAGGCAACTCACGGGAGCCACCCATACCGTCTTGGCGGCTCTTGCGAATCGACGCTTATCAACGCTAATCGACGCTCATCGATGCTAAACCGCGGCTGAATCGACGCTAATCGATGCGAGCCGACGCTCAATCGGCGCTATCTCATCGACTCCCAAACGCTAATCGACGCCAGCCGGCGCTAAAGACGGAATGGCGAGGGTATACGAGGCTCCCACGATTTGCTGCCGAACGGCGACCGTGATCACCGCGACAGCCGCGGCTCTCGTCGGAGAGCAACCCCGAGATTCGACGTTGTGATGAGCATCGTCTAACCGATCCCCATCCCCACCAGCGTGGGCTGGGCCGCACTGGCCGATTTAACTCCCTGGATGGGGATATAGGCTGCTCCATTCAAGCTTCGAGGGTTTGGAGCCCCGAAGCGGCGCGGTGACAGACCGTGCGGTGACCTCGAAATCCCCCAAGACCTCACCGCACGGTCCGTCAACGCACGGTTTTGGGACCCCGGATGCCCCAGTCGCCCGAGACATCCTCGGAGAACGACCCGAGTCCCAAAACCGTGCGGTGACCCCGAATCCCCACCGACTCACCGCACGGTGTCGTCACCACCCCGTTTAGGGACCCCCGAGAGGGGCATGTCGCAAAAAATCATGACCGGAGCCACGGACTTCATCTTTCTGCGCCCCGCGAGGGTCCCGGGGCCCGAAACGGGGCGAAAACGCCCGTGTTGAAAAAGATGCAGCATCTGGATCTCAGGGAAGCGCAGTATTAAAGTCACGCCTGTCGGGGAACCCCACGAGCGAGCCACTGTCGAATACGTGACGCGTTTCGCACGGACACAGGAGAAGTGGCATGCACAAGGAGCACAGTTAGCCCGTATAATAAGTCTGCGCGGTAAGACTGCAAGGGCCTTGGAGGGCCATGCTGACGTTTCTCGCAGGAGATTGGCCAGCGAAAGCGGCCAAGGATGGACCGAAGGGGACGGACGCAAGGGTGACCTTGGACAGTCGCTCATCCACACTACGCGGGCTGACTGCAGCAGCGCGGCGCTGCGTGCGCGCCTGGTGCGGCGCCCCAGGCGGTCAGACTGGGCATCGCAACCCTGCGGGACAAAATTTGTGACGCCGCGCTTTGGCTCTCAAGTCACGAAAGGCTTCCATGGACCTCCGCACTTTGGCTCAAGTCCCCATAAGCTTCCACACACTCTTCTCCCCCGCCCCCTTTCCCCCCGTCACCCTTGCCCTGGCTGGGCGCCTCGAGGAACGAAAGAAGCACAGCGTGGACACAACTTCCCAGAGGTTGGCGCGGATCTCTGGGATCAGCGGTGTGGGTACCCCTTCCTCTTCTGAACCCCAGGTCGTCCCGAGACGGACTGTAGCCCTTCCGAACGATTAGGCGGCCTGGCCAGGAGGGGGCGCCCGCCCAGGATTGAGCAGGGACCGACCGTCCCGGCACTCCTGCAGGCCGGCCAGGGTATGCTCCTCGAGCCCGAACATGTCCTAATAATGACTACATGCAAGACCACCCCACCTCAACCCGAAGACCCGAAGACCCGAATTTCGGGTTAGAAAGGGTATGGGCTTCATGTGTTTTTCCACGTTCCCCGACCCCCCCACTGGAAATGGAGGGCACATGGGGGCCTTCGGGTTGGGGTGGGCGGTGAAGTAACAAAAGCATTGTTCTTAGAATTCGAGCCCGCTGTGCTGAGACGAGACAGCCTCAGCCAGAACTGTTCTACCGTTCGTGCAGACCACAGAAGGCTCTTAGAACACTCTTAGGTGGGCCTCTACGGCAGGTTCGTGTCGTGCCGACCCCAGCGTTGGTTTTTGACACCGCAGGGATCGTTCAACCTTGAACGATCGGCCGCTGCCGCAACGTCCGATCGTTCAACATCGATCGAGTCTGGGTCGCAGGCGGCGTTCAACCTTGAACGCCCGCGCTGGGGTCGCCGCTGGTCGACACGACGCAAACCTACCGTAGGCGAGCCGAGACGCTTCGCCACTGCTTGACAGGAGGGGGCGCCCGCCCGATATCGTGCGCGCGCGGGCGGCCCACGGCGGCGCTGCGCGCGCGGCCGTCGATCTCGAGCACCCGCCCGTGCAAAGCGCGCGCCCGGGCCAGCACCCGCTCCCGCGCCCAGGCCGCGTGCGGCTCCTCCTGGCGGCGCGCGCGAGGGGACCTCTGTAAGAACGGTTTTTTGAAGGCAGATCTGCCTTCAAAAGAACGGTTTTTTGAAGGCAGATCTGCCTTCAAAGAACCGTTTTTTGAAGGCCAATCTGCCTTCACTCTAAGAACCGTTTTTTGAAGGCAGATCTGCCTTCAAAAAACCGTTCTTTTTGAGAGCACCCGTCCTCCTCCTCCTCCACGAGGCCTCCAGGGCACTCCTTGGTGCCTTTTCCTCGGAGCAGCCCTCCAGGACCTCCCGCTCTCAGACCCGCTCACCTCCCGGGCGAGCAGATGCGCATCGTTTCACCGATATTCCGATTTCCCAATGGCATGTGGCGGCGCGCACCGGGGGGCAGGGGGAGGGGGCAAGGCTTCTCAGGAGGCTGCTTCTTAGAAGGCGCCCGCCTTGCATCTACAGAGGAGGCCCGCGCCTTCTGAGAATCATGGGTGCTTCTAAGAAGCCTCCCCCCCTTCGCCCTACCCAGAGGCCTACTAGATGGGATCCGAGCAGATGGTGTCGGAGGATCGCGCTGCATCACCATGCATCGGCGACACCTCGCCGATGCATCGGCGACGCATCGGCGATGCATCGGCGACGCATCGGCGATGCCATCGGCGACGCATCGGCGATGCCATCGGCGACGCCATCGGCGTGGAGAAAAGCGGGCCCCACACCGAGCCGCATCGCCGATACATCGCGATGCGGCGCGATCCTCGACCGAACTCCGCGGGGATCGTTCAAACTTGAACGATCAGCCCTTTCAACACGGCCGGATCGTTCAAGGATGAGCCGAATCTGGGCCATCCTTGGTCTCCACGAAGCATGCAGAGCACTCCGGGGCAACTGCTCTTCCTCAGATCCAGGCCTCCAGGACCTCCCTCTCTCAGACCCGCTCACCTCCCGGGCGAGCAAATGCGCATCGTTTCACCTATATTCGCATTCCCAATGGCATGTGGCGGCGACCACAGAGGGGCAGGGGGAGGGGGCAAGGCTTCTCAGAAGGAGGCTGGCTCTGAGCATCCGTAGATAAGTCCCGCGCCTTCTGAGAAGCAGGGGTGCTTCTAAGAAGCCCTCCCCCCTCCCCCTGCCCCCTTCTGCGCGTGGCTGCTAGTTTGGGATATGTCGTGCTTGCTTCGGGTCTCGCGGGGCCTATCCCTACCTTTGGGGTTGGGCTGGCGGGGCTGATATACCATCCCTGAAATCCAACGCTACGAAACAAATACTACAGTAGGAGCTCGACCACAAGAAACCTTCCACAAGAAACCCAACCTCGAGACCCCAGGACGTCCATTGATTTCTGGTGTGGGAACGTCACGCTTCCCATCGCAAAACTATACCGGAACCCAAGAAACCCAGGGCACCCGGGCACCCTGGAGGCAGGCAGGGTGCTTATTGGCCGGGGCTCCCACTGCACATCGCAAGAGATCACGAACGCAGCCCTAGACCCTATCTTGCTGCAACATGTTTCAAGCCAGATCGAAGCCGGGCCCGGGCCCGAAGCCGAGCGAAAACGTCCGGGTTGGCAGAACGGCGTTCAGTGGGACCTGGTTTAGTGATGTGTACTGGGGGACCCCCCCCCGCCCCGTTCCACTAACCAGAACTGCAATTACCCGAAAAATCTCAAGCTACGGAAGACCCGCTTTAGTGATTCTAGCAAGTTTAAGGGCTCCAGGGCCATACTACTAACCGGGTCCCCTTACCTGGGGTCCAGGTTATACCTGAAAAAAGCTTGAGTTCGTGTTTCTTCGCTGAAGACCTCCAGGACATCCCTCCCTCATGACCCGCTACAGAGACGTTCCAGCAGCGTGCAGCGTTGACTCATGCTGATCGTGTGTTTTGGGTGTATGAGCCTTCCACCGTTGCTCTTGCGGTGCAGTGGGAGCCGCGGATCGGTATCCAGGATGCTCCAGCCAGGCAGCGCTCACGACATGAGCCACCATGGGAGCCTCCGTGGACCTCCGCGGCCCCCATCATAAACATGCCTTCGGCCCGACTTCGTCTGGATCTCGACCACCCGTCCTCACGCTTTCGTCCAGATTTCGCCCAGACGTCGACCAAACTCGACGAGACCCCCGGAAGACGCACAAAAATGGTGGGACCCTCGCAGGCACCCGTGAAGCACCACACTGGAGGCCTCCTGGATGCGGTCCGAGCAGATGGGGTCGGGGGATCGAGCTGCGTCGGCGATACATTGGCGCCATACATCGCCCATGCATCGGAGATGCGAAGCGATCCTCCGACCCCATCTACTCCGACCCCATCTACGAATGGAGGTCTGGAAATTGGCACCATCACCAACACAGGGGGCTGCCTCCGCAGGGGGAAGACGATCCTCGATTTCGGTGCTGGTGGTACTACTTCGGCCACCTTGGCAGCCAGAATATATTACCACCATCACCGAGATCGGGATCGTCTTCCCTCGGTGGAGGCACACCGCCGATGCTAAAACAGGGCTAGGATCGGGATAAATCGCTCCAGAGCGTTCCGGAGCGCTCTCAGAGCGTTCCGGAACGCTCTGGAGCGGCCGAGGCGCCCAACACATCCTCCAAACCCGCCGATTCTCAGAGATTTCGAGTGATCCCGATCCGATTTGGTCCCGATCTTCGCGTCGTTTTACCGATGCTGGCGTTGGCGTCAGCCTCTAGGCCTGCGATGCGCAGGAGACCTGGGCACACGGGGCGGGAGCTCAAACCCGATGCTGGTGGTGGAGGAGGAGGAGGAAGAGCAAAAGGAGGAGGAGGAGGAGGAGGAGGAGGAGGAGGAGGAGGAGGAGGAGGAGGAGGAGGCCTGAACACACGGCAGGAGCTCGAACCCGCGGTCTCCTCCGCCGCCCGCAGCGGCGGCAGGCGCCCGCCGTCGGCGCCCAGCGCCGCCAGCAGCTCCCGCTCGGCGTGCGCCCGGCCCGGCCCGGCGGGGCTCCTGCGTGGCCGGCGTGGCCGAGGATCGCGAGCTCTCGAGGGGAGCGAGCTCCTCCTCCTCCTCCTCCTCCTCCTCCACCACCTCCTCCTCCTCCTCCTCCACCACCTCCCTCCACCTCCTCCTCCTCCTCCTCCTCATCCTCCTTCCCCTCCTCCTCCTCATCCTTCTCCTTACCCTCCACCCTCCACCTCCTCCTCCTCCTCCTCCTCCTCCTCCCCACCCTCCTCCTCGGGTGCCCGAAAACAGAGTGCGGCAAACTGCATCCGTAAGCATCAGGCTCGAGTAGCGCCTACATCGCCCGAGGTTGGCCTGAGCACCGACAGTCGTTCCGTTTCTGCCGAGCGCAGAGCATGTCATCGTTTGGATCTCTACACCTCTATCGCATCGAGGATGGCGAATAGGCTATCACATGCGAAACCTACCTTTGCAGATCAGATTCCAGAGTGCCAAGGATGTCTGCAGCCAAATGAACCCCAGCGGGGGGTCGGATACCCCAGCGTCGATCGGAACCGCAGGGGTAGGGTTCGCCGTAGAGCGAGCTCTCGAGGCGGCTAGGAGCAAGGAGCGACTCCCCACCGCCTCTCGTTGCGTTGCAACTTTCGCACGCCCGGCGACTTCGCCCAGTTGCGAGCCACGGGACCTTCACGGATCAACCAGGCTGCAACACACCGCAGACAGATGGGGTCCAGGGCTCCGGCGGGGCTCCGTTTGCGGAGGGTCGTCGTCCAGGGTCGGATGAGGCGTCGCGCTGTGCTCGCACACAGGGGGGATGGGCTGGGCGACGCAGGCAACCACCTCCGCCCACCAGCCACCCCGCGCCCCGCAGGGGTGCGCTCAGAGAGGTGGGCAGAGCAGCGCAGTGCATCAGCTCATCGCGCACGCCTGCTCGAAACAAGCTGCCTCGTCGGCGGCGAGGCAGAGTCGGTCCGCACCCGCGTGAGGCGAATCGGGGCAACCGAAAGGCGAATGGTCCGGCGTGCAAGAGGGAGGAACGAAGACGAGGGCGGCCGCGCGAGGGGAGGAGGGGGGAAGCGCTCAGACGTGGAGAAGCTCCGAGGCCTACTCGAGACAATGAAACTTGAAAGAGACACTGAAGCTCAAAGGGAGCGATGAGCGAGGATCGGCCCCCACCTCCCACTGAGATCTGGGCGTCGCAACGTCTTGGCAACGGGGGATTTCGCCCAGCTTCGGGCCCTGGGACCCTCACAGATCGATCGGGCCCGAAGAATGCAACAGAAGGATACGGTCTGGGGCTCGTGCCAGGAGTGTTCGCTATGCTGCAAAAGTTGCGACGGGAGGTCTTCGGCAACTTTCGAAAGAGCGCTCGTGGATGCCCCTCTAATTTCAAAGAAAGGGTCCTTTTGAAAGGGGGGAAAGGTCTCGGACCCACCCCTTTGCGCCGGAGAGGGGGGAAGGAACATTTCGAACCCCCCCACCTCCTTTGTGACGGAGATGGCTCGGGGGGGAACCTCTGCATTAGACTTAGGGTGTTAGGTTTTGGGTGTTAGGGTTTGCTTATGGCTTGAGAAGGCGATGTCAAGATCAGCCGATGCGTACTGCATAATATTCGCCACCGTGCCTCTGGGCACGGAGGGGGCGTGTCCTCAGGTCCTTTCCCTCCTCCTCTAGGCCCAGACCCCAAATCCTCAAGTTTGGCGGGCCTTGTCGCGTCTTGTCCCTTGACGTTTGCGAGCCAAGAGGGCCCGAAGACGGGCCAAGAGTGCTCCAAGAGGCCCCCAGGGCGGTCCAAGGGGGCCCCGAGTCGCCGAGAGATCGCCCCACGACGCCCAAGATGGCCTCGAGATGGCCCCAAGATGGCCCCAAGAGGCCTCCAAGACGCCCCAAGAGGCCCCCCAAAAGCCTCCCGAGAGGGCCCCAAGAGGCGACAGTCGTTGCTTCGCTGTAGGTCTGTGGCGGACTTCTGGGCGCTCCTCGCCTCCTCCTGCGCTCCGACGCTCCCGCGGACGGCCCGGGCAGGCCCCCGGAGGCCGTCCCAGCACGGCCCCACACGGCCTCCAAGAGGGCCCCACGGCGGCCTGCAAGAGTGCCCCACGACGGCCCCCAAGGCGCCCAAGACGGCCCCCAAAGGGGCCGAAGAGGCCTCGAGAGAGGCCTCCACGAGGCTCGTAGGAGGCCCCAAGAGGCCTCAAGAGGCCCCCAAGAGGCCCCCAGGAGGCACCAAGACGGCCCTCAAGAGGCTTCCAAAACTGCCTCCAAGTGGCCCCCGAGAGGCCTCCCACAAGATCCCAGAGAACACTCAATAGGCTTCATACCCACAACCCAGGCACGGTGGCGGGATGAGCCGAAGGTCATTGGATTATTTTGCAACGGGTCGTGAGCGGCACGTCTTTCCATCCAACAAGGTTTACATCGGGGGTGTGCAGGGCAACATATCATTTGCACAAGATCGAGATGGCTGACGTCTTGTGACGGCGATGCTGAGATCAACAAATGTGCGCGCCGCGCCGAAGTTTTGAACCGGGTCGTGAGCGGCACAGAGCTCCATCGTGAAAGGTTTAGCCCGGCGGTCTGCAGAGCAACATCTTCTCTGTTGAGGGTCGTTAAGGTTGAAGGCTTGAGACGGAGATGTTGAAATCAACAGATGCGCACCGCATAAGTTTTTTCGCAGAGGATCGTGAGCGACACACTTTTCCATCGTGAAGTCTAGAGCGGTGGTGCGCAGATCGACGTCGACGACGACGACTACGTCGACGGCGACGGCGACGGCCATAGAGTTCAAGTCTGTTTATTCGACGTTTCCTAACACGCTATCATCTTGGCGAACTTGTTTATTTGACTGGCTGCGGTCTTGCTTGATTCGTTCGAACCCGACTGTGAACATCAGGTTCCGCCAATCGCCGCTGTGCTTCTGGGGGATGCTAGATCGGGCCTAACATGAGCGTACTGAGCCATCCTCTTGTGCGTGGGCCATTCTGGGCCGTCTTGGGGCCACCATGGGCCGTCTCGGTGGCATCATTGCACGTCTTGGGTTCACCAAGGTCGTCGCGTCGTCGACGTCCAAGAGGTCGGCGCCGACGCCGACGCCGACGACAACGGCGACGCACCATTGCCCTCCCTCCATGATGATAATGGCGATGCTAATTCCACACTCTGCTGAGATAGCTACGTCTGGGAAGCAGCCCAGGACCCCGCCAAGAGCGCCCCTTGATTTGACCTCGCCAACCCTGGGCGGGCTGCGAACTGCGATACCGTCGTCATTTTCGAAGGCTGCCTGGGGTGTCACCCGAGAGACACCTCACGCAGACCTATATTAGACCTCGCAATCCCTGGGGGGCCGCGGACTGCAAAGCCGTGTCCACTTTCGAGGGCTGCTGAGGGGTCTAGCGAAGTGACGACTTACGCAGACCCATATTAGACCTCAGCATACCTGGGAGCCTACGAACTGCGAATATGTCGCCTCTTTTGAGGACTGCTGGGGGGCCCCGCTGAGTGACGCCTTAAGCAGATTCATATTAGACCTCGCAATCCCTGGGGGGGCTGCGAAGAGCGAAACTGTCGCCACTTTCGAGGGCGGCTGGGGGGTTCAGCGAAAAGTCGCCATCCCTGGGGGGGGGCTGCGAACTGCGAAAGCGTGACCACTTTCGAAGGCTGCTGGGGGGTCCAGCGCAGAGACGTCTTACGAAGACTCAGACGAGATCTCGACATCCTCAGGGGGCTGCGAACTGCAAAACTGTCAGGGCGTTTCTGTTAGGGGCAAGGTGTCACGCTTAGGGTGGTAGGGTTCCCCCCTATGTTGTGCAATGTATACGGGACAGTCTATGTTGTGCAATCTGGGTGGTGCAGTAGCTGTGGTGCAGTCTAGATTGTGTAATCTAGGTCGTCCACTATATGTTGAGCGATCTATATGGTGTTGCCTATGTGGTACACTCTATGTGGTGCTAACCATTGTTTGTGCAATACATGTGGTGCGGCCTACGCGGTGCAATCTAGGATGTGCAACATATATGTGGTGCAATGTATATGGTACAATATATGATGCGCAATCTATGTGGTGCAATATATGCGGTGCAATCTTGGGCGGATACAAGGCGGCGACGGGGCGGCGACGACGACCACGAAGCCGCCCGAGACGCCAGGGAGGCCCCCCATCCTTACGACAAACAAAAAGGAACCCCTAAGAGCAAGCACTGTTTGGGAAATACATACATATACAAATGTGTATATATATATATATACACACATCGCTACTTCTACACATGTATATATAAACATATCGAGATGGAGAGAGAGAGAGAGAGAGAGAGAGAGAGAAAGAGAGAGAGGCGCACAAATGGAAAAGGCGTGGTGATGATTATTTCTCTCTCTCTCTCTCTCTCTCCCTCTCGCTCTAAATATGTACGTACACAAATTCGCAACTTGAGGGTGAGAGAGGAGGAGAAGGGGAGAGAGCAAGAGAAAGAGAGAGAGAGAGAGAGAAACATGAGAAATAGAGAGTGAGATACGCCAGGACAGCAAACACAGGCAACATGATCAAGAGCAGGGTGCGGACAACGAATACAGAGAGGCGGGGATACGGGACGCTGCGGCAAGCGCGGAGGCTGCATAGAGGGGAGGAGACCTTGAACAGTGGCGGGATCAGGCCAACATTAGAAGAAACTTCGCAATAAACGGAAACTTTTGGCGCTCCGCGCGGAGCGCCAACAAATTATTTATGGCATGTGTTCTTCTTCTAAGCATGGGTGCACGTCGCGGCAAGCGAAGGGGCTGGAGGAGGTGGAGGAGGCTGGAGCGGGGAGGAGGCAGCGAGGAAGGAGGAGGAGACGGGGAGAGGAGGGGAGAGGAGGGGAGAGGAGAGGAGAGGAGGCAGCGAGGAAGGAGGAGGAGAGGGGGAGAGGAGGGGAGAGGAGGGGAGAGGAGGGGAGAGGAGGGGAGAGGAGGCAGCGAGGAAGGAGGAGGAGAGGGGGGAGAGGAGGCAAGGAGGAGGTGAAGGCGACTGGCGCGGGGAGGTGCTCCTGAGCACACTTCGGCGCACGACCTCGGCGGGGTCCTCGCCCGCGCGGCTGCAGGCCGAGGCGGCGGTGGCCCCGTACCTCATCAGCGCCTCGGGATTGCAAAGGATTGCAACAAAAACCAAGGATTGCAACAAAAACCAAGGATTGCAAAAAACCAAGGATTGCAACAAAACCCAAGTATTGCAAAAAAAACCGAAGGATTGCAAAAAAAAACCGAGCCCCGCCCGAGCCCCGCCCGCATCGGAGGCACGTCCGATGTGCCACCGCGCCTGTGGCCATTGGTCGGCGGCGGGGGGGGGAAGTCAAAAGGAGAAGGCCTTCTCGGAAGGCGGCGGGACTTCTCTCAGAAGCCCTCGCGCCCTCTGAGAAATACTCGGTGTCTTCCGGAGAGGCTTAGCAAGCTTCTCAGAAGGCCGGGGGACTTCCGAGCCTTCTCGGGAGGCCCGGCCCTTCTCATTTCCCCCCCGGGCTCGCCGCCGAGCTGGTGTGTGTGTTGTGTGTGTGTGTGTGTGTGTTGTGTGTTGTGTGCTGTGTGCTGTGTGCTGTGTGCTGTGTGTTGTGTGTGTGCGTCGTGTGCTCTCGCGCCTGCTCGTGAGGCGGGAGGTCCGCTTCGTGCGGAGCTACTGCTGCGGCCCCCCAGACGTATCGAGCTCAACGCGCGCCCAGATGTTGGGCCAGAGCCCCCGGCGTCGCTCCTGCCTCCCGTTCCCCGAACGCAGGAAGCGGCACCCAGGGCATCGTCCCTGGGGTGGGACATCCCAGGGACCCCCCCTCGGGGGCGCCAAGGAAGAGAGGACAGGAGGAGTTGCTGGCGCAACGTGGCCCGAGGCGTGTGCGCTGATGAATGTAAGATTCGGTCGGGTATGTCCTCCTGCAGGCGGACTGTTACCAGGTTATGTATCACAATATTGTTTCTCCTCATGCGAAAAAGAATCGAGCATTCATTTTCAAGTTATTTGTTAACATTATTGGAGATTCCTCCGGTAGAGGGACATGCTCAGTATAAGGGAAAGAAGGAAGAGAAAAAGCAAGAATCTTAACCATCTAACATCGGGGAGAAGTCGTGGCTCCGGCCGCGATCTTCGTGAGGCCGTTGTTTCTTCATAGATGCTGGGGAGCTTACTCGCCTGAAGGGCGGCTCCAGCTGGCGGGGAGTGGCAGGAGCCCTCCAGGAGCAGAAGGGGCGCCCCCCAGGAGGCGTCGGCGTTGGCGGGCACGGGGTCCCCGAGGCGGGCCATCTGGCTGCGTTGGGCGCAGTTTTTTCTGCAGACTCTGGCGAGCTCGCCTGCGTGGAGGGGGGGATGGAGGGGAGGGGGGGGGAGGGACGTGGCGAGGCCCGAGGGGCACATCTGGACTTCACGCAGGCCGGGGCTCCCTCGCACGCCCTTTCGGCCCAGCATCGCGCGAGAAGGCGGCGGAGACGCGGGGGGGGGGGGGGGAAAGGCATGCTAGGAACCCCGCCTGAGCCTAGAAAGAGCACCCTCCAGCTGGCGGAGCCACCAGGAACAGAGGGTAGAGGGTGCGCTCCCCAGGAGGCGTCGGCATTTCTGGGCACGGGGTCTCCGGAGCGGATCCCCGGAGAGCGGGGGGAAGGGGGGGGAAAATGCCATGCACGTGCCCGTCGGTCGAACGAAGTGGGTAGAAACACGAAGTAGGAAGGCGTTGGGACTAGATTGGGCTTCCGCCCCCCCCCCCCCCCCTGAAGAGGAAGGAACAGGAAAAGGCAATCGACAATTGAAGCAGAGAGGCACCGCAGATTGGAATCTGGGAATCCAGACCGACGGGCAAAGTTGCCTGAGTCTGCAAAACAGCGCCCTCCATCCATACGGCCCAGTCCTTGCCCCCCGACCCTACCCCGGACCCCTCCCGCACCCCCAGCGGACTCGCCCTTCCCGGGCCCGACGGCAGATTCGCTTGGTATAGCGCACCTTCTGCTCCTGGGGGCTCCCGCCAGCTGGAGGGCGCTCTTCCTAGACTCAGGCAGAAGCTTCCACGCATGCCTTTCCCCGCCCCCCCCCCCCCTCCCCGCCGCCTTTTCAAGCAACGCTGGGCCCAAGATGCGTGCGCGAGTGAGCCCCGGCTGGCCTGAAGCCCAGCTTTCCCTGCTGGGCCTCGCCACGCCCCCCCCCTCCCCTCCATCCCCCCCTCCACGCAGGCGAGCTCGCCAGAGTCTGCAGAACAAACGGCGCCCAACGCAGCCAGATGGCTCGCTTCGGGGACCCCGTGCCCGCCAACGCCGACGCCTCCTGCCACTCCCGCCATCTGGAGCCGCCCTTCATGCGAAGAAGCTTCCCAGCATATATGAAGAAACAACGGCCTCAAGAATATCGCTGCCGGAGCCACGACTTCTCCCCGATGTTAGATGGCTTATCTTCTTGCTTATCCTCCTTCTTACCCTTATACTGACCAACCCCCCTCCACGCAGGCGAACTCGCCAGAGTCTGCAGAAAAGCGGCGCCCAACGCAGCCAGATGGCTCGCTTCGGCGACCCCGTGCCCGCCAGCGCCGACGCCTCCTGAGGGGGCGCACCTCCTTCCTGCTCCTGGAGGGCTCCCGCCAGCCAGAGCCGCCCTCGTCTTCTGCCTGCGCTCCCCACTGGCATATCGTCCTTTCCTCGTCCTCGTCCTCCTCCTCCTCCTCCTCCTCCTCCTGTTTCGTCTTCTCCTCCTCCTCCTCCTCCCCCTTCTCCTCCTCCTCCTCCTCCCTCCTCTCCTCCTCCTCTCCTCCTCCTCCTCCTCCTCCTCCTCCTCCTCCCCCTCCCCCTCCCCCTCCCCCTCCCCCTCCCCATCCTCCCCCGCCTCCGAGTGAGCGCTCACGCTGGGGTCGCCGCCGCGCCGACGCGGCGCGGGCTCGCCGGTCGGGGCAGGCCGCCCACAGCGGGCCGCGCCTCCGAACAAACACCGACCGAGCCGGCAGCGAGACCGACACCGACCGAGGCCGATATGACTCGAGTAAGGGATGGACTTGCGGGCAAAATCTGTGTCCATATCCACTGCAGCTTGGAGATTCGGGCTCCCGTCCCCAGAAAGCCGAGGCGCACTGGACATGGATAACAGTCTGGCCCCTACTAGAGGCTCGAATTTTGTCCTCATCCAGTGCGCCTCGGCCTTGCGGCGCCCCTTCCACGAAAGTCCAAGACGGCCTGGACATGGACATAGATATTGCCCGCAGGACTACAGAATCTCCGTGGGCCCTGGAAGCCCAGACCCCCTCGAGCAGTGAACAAATCATGGCGGGAGGTTCTTTTTGCAATTGCTTCTGCATCTGGGGGCCCTGGCCTGGCCTCGGGACCGTCGAAACAGATTCAGGATGAGAAACGGGTCCCAGGGGATGGGTCGAGGCCTTTGGGGGTCGACGCTGTGACAGAAATCATGACGTCGGGGGTCTAGGAACGGAGGAAGAGGAGGAGGGGCAGAAAGAGGAGGAGGAGGATGGGAAGGACCAGGTCGGGGCAAGGGTGCGGAGCACCGGGGGAAGAACATGCGGGGGAGGGGGGGATCATGATGAAGACGATGATCAGGAACTTAGTGGGCCCTGGGAACGACAGGGCGTTTTTTCACAAGTTCCGTTTCGCCGTGTCCTTGCCGGTTCCGTCTCCGATGTTTTGCCGGTTCCGCCGCCGTTTTGGTTCCGGTTCCGATTCCAGTTCCAATCCTGGAGCTGTGTTTTTTGCCGTTTCTGGTCGGCTTTGTTCACCGAGTCCATTTTCAAGAGACGCTGTTTCGAAAACGTTCAAAAACTGGCCCTGCTGAAGTACAGAATTGATTCACCCCGAAATGATTTTTTCTGCTCGAGTCCACGAAAAATCGCAGACTCGGCTGACAAAATCGAGTCTGGGGTGCATCAATTCTCTAGTCGATCCCCTGCTCGAATAACTCCTCCTCCTCCCTCGACCGCCCGCCCCATGTCCCGAGCTTGTGGCAGGGTCATCAGCTCGCCGGTGTCGTTTTGTCGTCGTGGTCGTCGTCGTCCTCGTCTTCCTTCTGGTTCGGCGGCACAGGCCGTCAGGCCTTCGCAATCAAGTCTGGGGGGCATCAATTCTGTAGTCGATTCCCAGCTCGAATAACAAGGGATTATGCCGACCCCTACCCCAGGCGTCGCGGGGCGTTCGCGAAGGAGCCCGAAATTTCGGGCCCAGCCATGGGTGAAACACGATGTGTGTGTGTGTGTGTGTGTGTGAGGCGGGAGTCCATCCTCGATAAGGGGTGCGTCCGACTGGCCCCCCAGGGGTGCATCCCAGGGTTTCCCCCCCCCCCCCCCTCTCTCAGAGGTGACCAACTTTTCGGGTGGAGCTCGGGGGATTGGGGGACATTGCGTGAAAACCACAAGAGGTTCTTAGAACATTCTCTGGTGTGCCTGTAGGCAAGCCAGGACGCTTCGCCACTGCTTGACTCTGAGGACCTTCCTGGAGCCACTCGCTCCGTTCATGCGTGGATGCAGCCTCGAACGTCGAACGTTCGCCGACTGTAGTCGAACTAGAGCCAATCTTGTGTCGAGCTCTACTCGAACTAGGGTCGAGTTAGAGTTAAGCTTGAATCGGACAGATCCGATAGGTTGGCCTCACGGAAATGCCCCAAACGAGCTTCTGGCCCACAAACTCCAGCCCAGAGGCCGGTCAAAAACTCTGTGCCACAGCGCGAGACCGACCTCCCCAGACTTCCGACCTCGCGATTGTTTCTCCATGTGGCTCCCCATGAGGTCTCGACCCCTGGTGTTGCGTCCCGAGTCGGTGTTTGACGGTCCTGGGGCCCCGCAAGGGCCACCGGAGGCCGAGAAGTGCCGAAAATCTTCCACCGCGAGTCTGTTCACGACGAGAGGAGGTAGTTGTCCTTTGGATTCTGGCGAGGTCGCTTGCATGCAGGGGGGGAGAGAAGGAGGGGGAACATCATGCAAGCCAGGACTCGGTTGCACGCCTCTTCGGCGCAGCCTTGCTTCAAGAGGCGGCGGAAAGGGGGGCGATGCGATGCGACCACCGGTGCGGACAGCGTCCGGGCCTACTCAAGACCGGGTGGGCGAGGCCGTGGCCTCGGGAACTTGGCGTGTCTGGACAGCATGCAACGCAATGCGAAGAGGGGGGCGTGGGGGTGGCATGCCAAGCAGGTGAACTTGCCCAGAGCCGGCAGAAGAACGCTCCCTTGTCGAACAGAACTCCGCCGCCGTGTTCGTTCTGTTTCGCAGCGGCAGGTGGTCCGAGGGGTCGGGGCCCGGGCCCACGGGCCGGCCAGAACGGCTCCGAGGCCCGCGCGCCTGCACCACGCCGACGTTGAGATGTCGCAGCGCGTACCACAGCGGCCGGCGGCCCTGCGGGGGCGGGCGCGGGGGCGGGCGGGGGGCGGGGCCGGGCCACGCGCGAGGGGGACCCTGGGCAAGAGTGGCCCTTCGTGCGCGGCTTCCAGGGGCCACGACGGGGGCACCATCCAAGCGCACGGGCTGCTGCGATCGCATCGGGCTCGGCGATCGGGTGGCCCCAGTGAGCCACAGAGCACTCCCCAGCACAGGTACAGGCCCGATTCTCGAGACGAGGGGGGGGAGGTCGAGGAGGAGGAGGAGGAGGTCGAGGAGGTCGAGGAGGAGGTCAAGGAGACGGAGGAGGAGGTCGAGGAGGATCTTCGAGGCGAGGAGGAGGTCGAGGAGGTCGAGGAGAACGAGGAGGTCGAGCAAGAGGAGGAGGCGAGCCCGCACCAGAGGTCCCTCCGCCGAGAAGGCGCTCACACGTGCAGCCAAAGGGGGGTGGGGGGGCCAGGGGCGGGCGGGGCCCCGAGAGAGCATCGGGGCCCCTGCCGGGGGGGTTGGCCACAGCTGGCGTCAGCTTGCCATCGCGCGGACGTCCACTTCCCGCACATCTCTTGATGTCGTGCGTGCTGTTTCTTGGCTGCTCGATGATCCAGGATGCCTCTCGATGATCCCTCGCAGAAACCAGATGAGCACGTTCGAGCGATGTCAAAGAGAGACGAGACCTCACAGATGGGGTCCGAGTAGGCTGACGAACGGACAACACGCACCCGTACCCATGGGGGGGGGCGGAGGGGGCCATGGGTCATGGGTGCGTGTTGTCGGATGGAGGTCCCCGCTCGAACGGGAGCCTCCCTGGGGGTCCGACAAACAGGACCTATGACCATAGCTTGTCCTCATCCCCTCCAACCACCATACGGGTACGTGTGTGTGTATGTGTGTATGTGTCTTTGTGTGCTTGTGTGTATGTGTTTTTCGCTCGTCGTAGATAGGGCGTGCGGATCGCGCCGCATCGGCGATGCATCACCGATGCATTGGCGACGTGGGCGATGCGTCGGCGCCGTCGGCGAGGAGAACATCGGGCTCCGCATCGGGCCGCCTCGCCACTGCATCGACGAGGCGGTGCGATCTGGCCCCATCTGGTAGGCCTGGACAAGGGCGTGTCCCTGGCCCGAGAGGGGAGGGGCCCGGGTGCTCTTTGGACGCAAAACTCGTAGCGAAAAAGTCGTCCACATGGGGCCCAAATAGCGTGCCACATCGCGCGCAGAGCGGACGTGGTACATCTCCCTCAGCTGGCGCCCTTGGTGTTTTTGGTCGCCAGTTGGGCGTCATTCGGCGCTATCTGAAAACGGTTCGGCGCTACTGGGCGCTACGGAGCGCTATTTAGAGCTATGGGGCGCTTTTCGCCGATGCACATTCAATGCAAGAGTAGCAGAAACTTCCATGACTCACTATCAAAGTGCTCGGAGATTGCCAGGGAGGTGCCCATCACCCAACGTGCCTCCCCTGACATCCCCGCGTCGCGAGAGAAACAAAAAGACGAACGGCGTTTCACAATTTTCTCGGGTCGGGCGAAAGGGGGGGATAGCAAAGGGGGGGGTTGAGAATCAGCTCACGTAGCTGATTTTCTCGGCGCCTCCCGGCGCCGGGAGCCGCCATGTATCAAGGAATTGGCCCCTCGGTGAGGCCGAGACCAGCTGCATGCAGCAAATTTCGTAACACCCCCTTTCCCAATCCCCCCCCTTTCGCCCGACCCGATTTTCAGCCTCGAGCACCCGGGTGGCCGTCAAAGCACGACTCAGGATGACAAGCTGCTCCCGGGGAAGGAGTTCAGACCTCTAGAGGGGGAGCCACGCCGTGGACAAAACCGCGGCGCGGGCTATCTGCGCAGGCCGCCCCGTGGTGCCCAGATGGCCTCCCAGAGTACACCTCGGTAGGATTGCAAAAAAAACCCTAGGTTTGCAAAAAAACCCTAGGGTTTTTTGCAATCCTAGGTTTTTTTGCAATCCTTCGTTTTTGTTGCAATCCTTCGTTCAAGGGAGGGCCCATAGGTGTTCCAAAGGATACCTCCTAGATGGGTTCCGAGCAGATGGGGCCGGAGGATCGCGCCGCATCGCCGACGTCGGCGGTGCATCGGCGACGCCGGCGCGGGGGAAGACGGTCTCCACATCGAGCCGCATCGCCGATGCATCGGCGATGCGGCGTCATCCTCCCGCCCCACCTGTACTCGGACCCCATCCAGGATGCCTGGACCGAAACTGGAGCGCTGAGCTGGGGGCACCCTGGGCAGGGGACATCTCTGGCAACAACCGGCGTGCGGGCCTGCGCGAGCGGGCGGGAACCCTCTCAAGGTGTCTGTGGCTATCAGGTGTCCAATCGCATACCGCGTGGGTACCCAGTCAGAAAACCAACAAACACTGCATAGACACAAGCTCTCTGAGGTCAGGCGCGGATTTTTCGAGTGGCCCAGAGCCCATGCGGGTCCGCAAGGCCCTCGAGGGAGACGACATCTCTGCGGGGCATCCGCTGGCAAGCTGGAAAGGGTTCTCTACACGTGGTGCGAAATTATGTACTTCAAGCTATGTGGCGTGCCATGTGCGGTGTGACTGGCGAGGTGAAATCTTCCGTCAATGTCAAGCACATGTCTCGTAATCCGTTCAGAAGCCTGTCAGAAGCCTGCCCGAAAAATTCCGGGAGCCCATCGGAAACGACTCGGGAGCCGATCGAAAGCTTCTCAGAAGCAAGCCTCTCGGAAGCCTCTGCTGAACCTCCTATAAACCTCTCAGACCTCGCAAATGTCTCTGAGAACCAACTGGGAAGGATATTGTAAGCCTCTTATAGAACCTGTTTTGGCCTCTCATATGCCTTGCGAGATCATATCAGAAGCTTGCCACACGCGTCTCGGACGAAGCCTGCCAGAAGTCTCTCGGTAGCGTCTCATGCGCCTCCCATTAACCTCTCGAGAACTCTCAAACGCTCCCCATGAGCGCCTCCCGGAAGCCCCTCGGAAGCCTCCACATTGAGGCGCTCGGAAGCGTCTCGAAGGCCTTAAGGAACCTTCAAGCAGCTTCTCGTACTCCGCGCAGAGGACTCTCAACACCTTTACGGAGCTTCACTGAAGCCTCTGCCTCTGAGGGGTGTACCGTACGCCTTTTATGAGCCTCCAAATCGCGTCTGAGACGCAGATCAGAAGCCTCAAAGAAGTCTCGAAGATGCGAAGCCTCGAAAGGGCCTCGCAAAATTGTAGGGGCTCTGAAGGAACCGACCGGATAATTGCCGAACACAGCGGGCAACACGCAATTTATCAAAGAAGATGATTACACCGTGATGCCCCCCAGGAGGCCAAGCAGGGCCACAGACCTCCCGTCGCGACGTCTTCGCCACGCGGAGAAGTCGGGGAGGCCCAGAGGAGCAGCAGCACCGATCCCCCAACAGCATCCCCATGTGACCGCAGTGAGGGCGGGGGGCGGCGGGCCGAGCGCGATCAGCACGGTGCTCCCTCGGGACTGCCGCGCCAGCCCTCGGCTGCACGCGCTGCGGTCCACCAGCGCCTCCTGCACTGAGCATCATCATGGACGAGGACCTCGCCCGCCACACAGCAGTTCGGCACAGGGCAGCAGGGTTGTACCGAGAGTGGTGCCGACAGTCGGGCCCCTTCACTCGTGCAGAGGAGGGGGGAGGGGAAGAGGCGGAGGCCGGGATGGAGGAGATGAGGGACATGACGCACACGCATAGTTTGCACATGCCCTGGCGACAGGTTCGTGCCATGGCGACCTGCCAGTGATTTCTGACGCTGCGTGCCCAGACCCCCGGCGTCGTGATTTTTTAGCAACGTCGGCCCCTGGAGAACTGGATCCCTTCCCTGGGACCGTTTTTCCAACCTGTGCCGTTTTAAAGCGGTCCCGAAGCCCGGTAAAGGCCCCCGGAGGCCGACAAAAAAACGGAAAACTTCACGACGTGTTTTTTGTAACGAGGGGGTCTGGGTGGATCGTTCAGCCTTGAGCGATCGCGGCTCCACAAGAGGGGTTTCACCTTGAGCGCCCGCGCTGGGGTCGCCGTTGCGCCGACGCGACGCAGGTCTGCCGCAGTTGCCCAAGCCGTGGCCCAGAGACAGAAGCAGCGCCTGCTGCCAGTAGGGGCCCGACAACAAGAAACCTTCCACAAGAAACCCAACCTGGACCTGGGCGGGGCCTTCGATCCCGAGGGGGCAGGTCGGGCTGGGCACGCGAACGGGGAGGAGGAGGAGGAGGAGGAGGAGGAGGAGGAGGAGGAGGAGAGGAGGAGGAGGAGGAGGAGGAGAGGAGGAGGATGAGGAGGAGGAGGAGGAGGGAGGAGGAGGAGGAGGAGGAGGAGGAGGAGGAGGAGGGAGGAGGAGAGAGGAGAGGAGGAGGAGGAGGAGGAGGAGGGAGGAGGGAGGAGGAGGAGGAGGAGGAGGAGGAGGAGGAGGAGGAGGAGGAGGAGGAGGAGGAGGAGGCGTAGGAGGAGGAGGAGGAGGAGGAGGAGGAGGAGGAGGAGGAGGAGGAGGAGGAGGAGGAGGAGGAGGAGGAGCAGGAGGAGGAGGAAGAAGAAGGTGTCTATTGACATGGGTCTTCCCTGCACCCCAGGGCGGGGCTCTCAATCCCGAGAGGGGGCCAGTCGGCCCGGGCAACGCGCGCGGGGCTCGAGCCGCCTGCGCGTCGGCCGCGTCCGGGTCCTCCCCGGCCTCCAGCAGCGCCGCCACTTGCTCGGCCTGGTTCCGCCGCGCGGCCAGGCACAGCGCGGGCCTCTGGGGGGAGGCACGGACTCGTGAGATCCTGGCGACTCACGACCCCCCTTCGCGCGGTGCCCAACAAATATCACCGCGCGAAGCGTTTTTCCCTGCTGTCGGCTTCCGGGGGCTCTTGCCAGGCCTCGGGACCGCCAAGAAACGATTCGGGATGAAACAACGGGTCCGAAGGAAGGGGTCTAGATCTTCACGGGCCAACGTTGTTTAAACAAATCACGACGTGGGGGGTCTGGAGTTTCATATTTTCTTACTTTTCTCACACCGGGCGTTTTCGCCCGGTTTCGAGCCCTGGGGCCGTCACGCATCGATCCTTGTTCGAAAGATGCAGCAGGATGATTGGGTTTGGGGCTCTGGTCGCGGTTTTTCGCGATGTTGCAGTTTTTCGCAGCGTTTGGCATCAGGGCATCCGTATACCCCTGATACCCAACGTCTTACACGGTCCCTTGGTGCGTGGCTGTAGGGTGGCTCCGCGGTGCGGGTTGTCGCTGTTATTGTTTTTGTCGTCGTCGCCTCGCGACACGCCCAGCCACACACCCGCGACACACCTGCGCCGCGACCAGCGCCTCGACCCACCCGCGCCCCGCGACCCCCCCACGACCCAGCCACCTAGCGACCCACCCGCGACCCATCCGCGACTTACCCACGACCCAGTTTGAAAAGGGGTTGGGAGGCCCAGCCAGAAGATTCGCCTGAGGCGAAGCCCATATCCAACTCTATTGTACCGTAGTAGCGATAGCCCCAGAAGTAGGAAATCGTCGCGGGAGCGACGGGCCATGGCAAACGAAACTGTTTTCGGTCCCAATGGCAACTAGCGCACCTCGCGATGACGCACAGCCATATGTTGGCGGCCGGCCGCTTGAGCACAAACGGCCGCGGACAAACGCTCGCCATCTCTCGCCTTTGCCCCAGCCTCCTCTAGAGTGGGGGGGGAGGAGACGAAGCATGAGTCCGCCGCCCGCTATACAGTAAAACGCGATATACACAAGGTCGGCAGCAGAAGGCGGGCTCAACAAGGGAGGTTGACCCGCACGCAAGTACCGCTGCAAACAAGTTGCCTCGCAGGCAGGTCACCTTGCGGACGACTGTCCCTCAGGCGGCTCAGACACTCTTGTTTGGCCACACCTGTATGGAGCGTGTCGTTTTTAATCGTGCTTGAAGGATTGTGTTCCTTCCATGACCTGTAGAAACATATCTGTCGATGTCCGACTTGGCGTTGCCATCCGCGGTCATGTCGCGGGTGTCACACCACTGCACACAGTGCACGATACCTCGCTCCATCATCTGTCGTATCCACCTGATGTGTCCCAACAGTGTACACTCAGTCGGTTTCTTCTGGTCTTTGCTTGGCAAGGACTTGAAGACATATTCTGCATCGATGGCCAAAGTGGCCTTAATCCTTAGGCCACCCATCTCAAGCATGTCTTTCAACTGAGCGGGTGTCGGCGTCAGCGGACCTGCGTGGAGTTCGTGCAGAATGACGACTGTAAGATAGCAGTCCTCCAGGTTGTGGGCCGCTGCAAGTGTTTCCGCTGAGTAGCCCGAGCGGACCTGCAAGCGGTGAGACTCGCGGTGCGCGTCGGCGAGATGGACGACGGGCTTGCCAGCGCGCGCGTGTCCACGCCGTCGCGGGTCTGCCCCGCGAGCACCATGGCATTTGACATCGTTCTAGGCATCTCCGCTTAGACGATGGTAACCGGAGTCGCTGCGCAGGACACCCGTTGGAGTCATCGATTGATAGACGATCTTCTGAAGGCAAGCTTGCAACTTTCTGGTGGTCGCGCTCGTGGTTCCTTGAAACCATATACCATTAGCCACACCTGTGTGATTAAGGCGTAAGCCAAGGCGCCTCTGAGGCTGACTAACATGTCGGCGACCATCTCCGATGCCTCGGCGCCAGCGGCAGCGCCAGTGAGTTCGGGGCGTTGTATAGGACGGAGCTGTTTTATGTATTGCGTGGTTGTGGAGTTTACAGTTACCTCGCAGCACAATGGTAGATGCGTGTGTTGTGGAGTTTACAGTTACCAAAAGTATCCCCAACGCACTTGACGCACCTGTCGATAATGTCCTCAGCACCGGCCAATTTAACGTCATCAACGTGCCTGGCTGTCAGCAGGTTGGGGCTCGTAAGCAGTGCTCCAGATCCTGGGAGGGCTGCTAGCCCAGATGCTGACCCAGGCGGCGGTGCAAAGCACGCCAGACGTGCCTGTGCGCCGGTTGCTTTAGCAAGTTCCTGACAGGTGGGTCCGTTCAGGAGAATCATGTTGATGTCCAGGGAAGCAATAACCCATTGCTCCTTGCACGCTGCCGCGCTCGCGGGTAGTCTCTGACTCGACCGCCTTGCCGTTCCTGAGGAAGTTCCCACATCGACAGCTTCGAGGTCCATGAACCCCCGAAGTGCAAAGGCGTAATCTCATGGTGCGTTGCATCTCGCCCCTCTCTCTCCTGACGAACTCCCACATATCCGCATCTCGAAGTCATGATGCTTCACGCCTTTGATGTGTCTTGCATTTTGAAACACTCGTTGTCAAACCATGTCTTGAGGTCAGTATATAGGGCTTTAGATACCTAGACTGGAATCGCCTTGATGTCGGCCTTCGTGAGGGGGTCTTCCTCCTTGACGACTACAGCTCGTTAGTCTGCGGTGGTCACATATCCTCGCATAGTGGTCACACGGTCGAAGTCTAGTATATTGCGTTGTTGTTCGGATAGGACTACCTTCGACCTGTCCTCAGCGAAGCAGAAATCGACATTTTGCCCGTGCTCGTCAACAACCATATTCATAAGTGTCGTCTTCGTCCGTGGAGCACAGTGGGACACAACAAGTTTCGGTTGTGTCTATATCCTGTGGAGTACACCCTGTAAGCAGGTGCTCCCGCTGTTCCTCAGCTACTATGCCCAGCACACGTTGCCGGTGATCATCTGTGTTGGTACAATGTAGAGGTCGTCCATTGAAGTTGCCTCCAATAGATCTCCTTCCTCCTGCAGTTCCGTGCACCACGCATCCATGATATGTGCGTCGAAGCCCGCTTCTGATTCCTCATAAATAATACGAAGCCTTCCACCTTCCTGTGGTGGCTCGGCTTCCGGAACTTCTCCGGCGTCATTGCCGTGTCTTGGTGCGCCAGCCAATTCTTCAAACTTCGTGCCGTCTTGGTCAAAGCCCGCCTGAATTTTGGGGAACGTCAGGCACTGGATGATCCTCGAACGTGCTGGTCCAATTATATCGTAAATGTTTAAGGCAGTGCCTTCGGCTTCGTAATAGTAAAAATCAAGTCCCCCGCCGTTGTCATAGTGCACCACACCAATGTGCAACTGCCAGCAAAAGCCACCGGAGATATCTTGTGAATGCCCTTAGCTAACCTGACGGAGACTACGTTCTCGATACGAAGGAAGTTCCTGATGATGTATTGAAGGGCTACTTGTACCTGAGAAGGTAGCCGGCTCGCACTTGTCATCTGGAGCATTCCCTTTTCGGTCGGGACGTAGCCAAAGGTCACAGCAGGTCGCCCTGCAGGTAGACTGGCTACGAGTATCAACACAGTCCGTAATGCTGTATTGCATGAGATAATTTCTCGAGCGATGGAAGCCTCGAAGTATAGTGAATATCGCGCGCCGCAGCACTGGACCTGTACATCGCGGCTCCCCACTCTTATGATGACCAGACCCCAGTCGGGATCGTTTCTTTCGACTGGGAGAAGTCCATCTCAGCCGCGCCAGTCGTCCATTGTAGTAGTGAGGCGATGATAATCAACTAGATCTCCCTCGTCATAGTTGTGCTGACCAGTGATCGTAGTCTAGGTCCGTAGTGCATGATTGGCTTTAGCTACTGCAGTGGCTTGAGTAATAGCCGCAATGCTTACCCGACGGATAGTCTGTTCTCGAGTGGTCGGATGCGTCCGTCTGTTGTTCGCGGTCCAGAACAGGCAGGTGTCGCCTCGCTGGTTGCCGTCCAAACAATGCGTTGCATGGAGACACCTCAGTTTGAAAGGTGAACGCGTCGGCGGCAAATAAGGCTTCATGCAGTAGACGTGTGAACACAGGAGGTGTGTCGAACCTGTTGAGATCAGCCTCCATGACGTGAAGTAAGTGCCGTAGTATGCCACTTCTGGCTTCTATTGTCGTAGCGTGTTGTCCACGCGCGCGCATCCTCAGCTCAGTGTCTCTGCCTTAAGACTGCCTTTGCGGCGTCGTTGTTAAGTGCGCCCCCCCCCCCCCCCCCGTCGGAGTAGAGCGCTTTGGCAGGTCCGAATTGCATCCGGAATCGATGATGCGCATCTAAGATGATGGTCATCAGTCTACATGGCATCTCAATTCCAGCACCATATCGAATGCAACGATCGACTATGAAACAGAATGTGTTACGGTTTCTGAAACATCAGATCGCTGTCGACTTCAGCATTAAACTTACCAGGCAGCGCAGTAGACGGCGCAACGCATGCCCTTGCTTGACACAAGCCCTGCGCTCCCGACAAGTAGCACAGACGCCCTTTATATGGTGCAGCCGGACGTTGTCCAGACCAGCCTTGGTTAAGACGAGTCTCATCTTAAGCTCTTTCGAGTGGGGCCACCGCAAGTGCAGTTTGCGCAACTTGCGTGCTACCGCGCTTGGGTCAAGGCTGCGTTGGTTGTGTAGACTAATTTGCACATCGAGCCATGACCAGTCTGGAAAAGTCTTGGGCGAGCAGCAGGGTCACCCGCAGTTGGCGGTGTGGAGGTGGCTCCCCTCCTTGCCGTCGACCTCGTCTAGCCACTATCTGTGGTAGCCGTCTCGGATCGTCTGAGCTGCCAGCTCCGCTCGAGGCGGTGTGCCCCGCAGCCGGTTCAGCGACATGTATGCCTACTGTGATGTCGTGGCTGCTGGCGCATGCTGTTTGTCGAGCTCTGGAGCCAAGCCTCGGAGCTCGTAGCCGCGCAATTTTCTGGGCGGCTGGTGCCTCCGACGCAGCTGCCGCCGCAAGCGGTGGCGCTGCCGGTTCGGCAGGAGACGGAGGCTCCTGT